CCCCAAAACCCCAAAACCCCAAAACCCCAAAACCCCTTTATGACCATTATAAATTATTCGGAGATGGGTCAGCAAGTTAAAATTTATGAGAACATGACATTTGGGCTGATATATTTCTTAGTGATCCTGTTGCCTTTATTTTACCTAACACCTCCTATGTACCAAATGTGAGACACCTTTTCACATGAGAGACAACTAGAAAGGCCAGACTATGACAACTCTGAATGGTTTGATTTCTTACCTGTTCTTTTCATAAGCCCTTTGTTCCCGATCCTAAAGTATTCAGGCAGGAAATATGCAGGTCCAGTTTTTAGGTCAAAGCTTATGGAGAAATATGATGGAGAAGCACTTGAACTCAAGGTTTACAGGTCTACAAGAAATTTGTTCAAGCTGTTTTAAGAATAGTGGGTTTATTATTATTCATTACCTCACTTGGATTCCACGTGCTAAGTGATACCAAATTTCATTCTTTCATGATGTTTGGAAAAGGAGACATACTATATTTTAAGTCAGATTGGCCATTTAACAAGGTGCCAAACTTATATAAGATGTATTACATGATTGGAATGAGCTATCATCTAGAAGACACTATCTCTCATTTCTTCCATCCGATTCAAAACGACTTCTTTGAAATGCTATTGCACCATTACATTACTATCATGCTAGTAGTTGGATCTCATATGACTTCTTTCTGGAACTTTGGAATTGTCGTGATGATTCAGATGGATATCTGAGACATCTCAGTTTCTTGCATAAAGGCATTCATAGATTTCTGCTCCCCAACAGTTGTGTTCATCAACTACCTTGTCATGCTGTCTAGCTGGACATATTTTAGAATCATTGTGTTTTCTATTGAGCGAATAGAAGCAGTTACACTAAGATCAGGATACTCAATAAGCTCAGGTGAAAATCTTCTAGCTCCCTTTGTAATTCTTCTGATCGGTGTTTTGATGCTTAATATTTACTAGGATATTATCTTCCTCAGAATGGGCTACAGATTCATCATTAAGGGAGAAGCTAAGGATATCCAAAATTCTGTAGAAGATGCCAAAAATAAGAAGGAAACCTAGAAGGCATTCTTGTTATCAATATTTGACAAGATAATCGGGTACTAAGAAATTTAGGATTTTACACAATAATGCATCGACACAATTTCAAGATTTCTCTCAAATAACGGGGTTTTGGGGTTTTGGGGTTTTGGGGTTTTGGGG